AACTACAAAAAAACCCCAGATCCCAAAAAAAAAAAAAAAAAAAAAAAAAAAAAAAAGAAACTGCCAAATTGCCTTCCAAAGGACTTGTCTGCCTCTGCCTTTTTTTGAGACAGGGTTTCACTATGTTGCCCTCAGCTGCCAGAGCTGAGACTACAGGCACATGTCACCATGTCCAGTGATCTTTTTATTCCCAATATCTTTTTATCTGAATTTTATACTACTAATAATGAGCTTATGTATTTATTGCAGCTTATATATTTTATATGGGCACTTTTATTAAGTGTATGTTCACTAGAACTCTTAAAATACTTTCTGGAGCCCATGGCTTTTTGTTTGTTTGTTTTGTTTTGTTTTGTTTAGTTTTTTGAGACAGGGTTTCTCTGTGTAACAGTCCTGGCTGTCCTGGAACTCACTCTGTAGACCAGGTTGGCCTGGTCTCAGAACTCACTGAGATCTGCCTGCTTCTACCTCCCAAGTGCTGGAACCAAAGGCATGCGTTACCACCCACCCATGGTTATTTTTTAACTAGAAATACGATTTCTTCCATAGGGTTATGGAAAAGTTAAATGTTGTCTGTAACAATGCCAGCAATGACTCAATGGTAGAAATGGATCTCAGTGCCCTGCCATGCTCTCGGCTTCTGCAGAGCACTTGGTTCTGTGACGTTTCTCTGGGCCAAGGCATCTTTGCTGAAGGCCAGCCATACTCTCTGAAGCATTTGTACTCATCCACCCTGAATCAAGGGTTCCCACATCAATATGGGAGATGCCCCCTAAAATACTGAGTATTATCACTACACTTACCTGTTCTGTGTCACATGAGCAGTGGTGTAGAAGTTGGTGCTGGAGGGTATCATAAAATATTTTGTGTAGTTTGGTCCCAAATTCCTGTGTGTCAGCTGCCTGAAATTCATGAGAAATAGAAAGTGATGAGTTCACTACTGGAAATCAAAAAGGAAGCACTGCAGACGCTGAGGAAGGCAAGAGACCATACATAATGTAAATGTAAATACATTCACCACTGCATTTACAGTTCTGTCTCTATGGGATCACAGAGGGGCAGAGCAGGGCCTGAGATACTTGGTAAGTAGCTCCCATATGTCTTCCCACCTAAGCAAGATCCTTCAACCAAGATCTTTGTCTACAGCAGATAAATATCCCAGGGAGCCCTCTGTCTCATGACTGGGTTGTAGAAGACTCCCTTCCATAAGATGAGTGAGAAAGCAGTGATTCCACTGAGGCTGTGGAATTCCTCAGCATGGAGGAGGGACAGGTAAGAAGCCTTCCTCAGACAAGCCTTCTGGAGACAAGAGAGCCAGAGAAGGAAGTCTGCACCAGGGCCCACAGATCTGCCTTTGACGCTTTAATACAGGACTGTGGGTATCAGAGGTAAAGAACATGAGGAGTCACCTGAAACCATACACTAACTTAAAAAAAGATGTATCTTTATGTGTGTGCTTGCATGCTTGTAAGCCATGTGTGTGCAGGGTCCACAGAGGCTGGAAGAGGCATCGAATCCCCTGGGGCTGGTTGTGAGCCACCTGATATGGGTACTTGGAACTAAACTTGGGTCCTCTGGAAGAACAGCAGTTTCTCTTGTAACAGCTGAGCCATTTCTCCAGCCCCTACCACGTTAATTTATAGATGAGAAATTGAAATTCAAAAAGAAGTGGCCCTCTCAAGATCATGTAGGACAAAAGCCAGAGCCACTACTAATTACTCCATCATCCGCATGCCCAAATGTGAAGCCATGACTTAGAGGCACTTGCTTATAAAGGCATTATTCTTTGTGCCATTAGTTGGAAGCACTTTATTCTAGGAAGCAATTTTAGATAAAACAAGATACCACATGAAGTATTAACTGAAGCACTGCTTATATACAGCAATAAATGTTAACTTAAATGCACAACACTAGAAGACTGGGGTATTAGATTAAGTAATAAAGTAATAAGTTTATTAGCCAAAGCAAATTCTAACCTTGTTGAAATTGGTATTTTATATACAAAATATAGTTCCTTGGTTTTAACAAAACAATGTGATGTGCAAAAAATAAAACTATAGTGATAGAAATTAGTATTTAAGTTTTTCTATGTGTTATATTACTTTTTATGAAAAAAAGCACATAAAAATGAAGGAACAGTCAGGTATGGAAAGCAGAGGCAGGAAGAGCTGTGTGAGTTCAAGACCAGCCTCACCTACACAGAATTCCCGAGCAGCCTAAGCTTGTCTCGGATATGCTGCCGATACCACTGGTCACCATATAACACCAATGGAGAAAGGAGAATAACACATACTGAGAGCCATCATGTGTAATGTACTTTTAAACTCAGTTTCTTCAGCTACTACAACAAATTTCGTAAACTAAGATAAATGCTACAAATTTTGTTACAGTTTTGGGTATGTGATGGTGATGGTTAATGTTAAAAGCCACCTGGACAGAAGGCCTCTGGACATACCAGTGATCGGTCTGATTACATTAACTGATGTGGGAAGACCCTTCTTAACTGGGTAGAACCATTAGTTCCCTCGGCAGATCATGAACTGTATAAAACGGAGAAGAGAGCAGACTACTGGCACGCACACACATTCATTGCTGTGTGCCTTAGTTTCTATTTCTGCAGTAAAACACCATGACCAAAGCAACTTGGGGAGGAAACATCTTACAGCTCTCAGGTCACAGTACCACGGAGGGAAGCCCCGGCAGGAACTCAAGGCAGAAGCCATGGAGGAACACTGCTTACTGACCGTCCATGGCTTGCTCAGTCCACTTTCTTACATACCCCAGAACCACCTGCCCAGGATAGCGCCATCCTACCATATCAGTCATTAATCAAGAAAATGTCCCACGGGCTTACCTACTGAGATGAGGTTGCCTCTTCTCAGATGACAATAACTTGTGTCAAGTTGACCAAACACTACCCAGCACACTGCTCTTCTGAATACAGATGCAGTGTGATCAACCGCTCAAGCTCTTGCTGTCCTGACTTCCGTGATGAACTGTGCTGAGGTAAGCCCTTCTCCCTCAGGTAGCTTCTGTCAGAGTGTGCCAGCACAGCAATGTTAGAAACCACGGTCCATGCCACACAGCTGGGCTCTGGTCCGCTTTGGGGTCTTTTCCTGTGCCCTCACATTGCAGAAGGGTAAAGGGTTTCTCTGGAACCACTTGATTTTTTTTTTTTTTTAATTTACAAGATGGGGTGCCATGACACACATGTGGGGGACAGAGTACAACTTGGGGGGGTTGATTTTCTCCCAGGGATCAAAGTCAGTTTGTCTTGCTTTAGTAGCAAGTGCCTCTACCCACTGCCATCTCACCAGCTCATAGGCTACTTAATAAGAACTAATCCTGGCCAGGTAGTGGTGGCTCACACTTTTAATCCCAGCAGAGGCAGAGTTAAAGTGAATCTCTTGAGTTCAAGGCCAATCTGGTCTATGGACCGAGTTCCAGGACAGCCAGGGCTACACAGAAACTGTTTCAAAAAACCCAAACAAACATGGGGGTGGGATGGAGGTTGGTGGGGGGCATGGGAGGACCTGAGGGAGAGGGAACGAGGATTGGTATGTAAAATAAAATTGTTTTTAATTTAAATAAACAAACATCCTGTTGTGGCGTATTCACCAGAAACCTGCTCAGACATGGGTTTAAGCCAATAGAAAGGCTGTTTGGGATCCTAGTGTAGCCCCGAGTCTTTCTCAGGGTGGGCACAAAAACCATGTCCTGGGTTGACATACTTAAGTTAACAAGAACAGTTAGTCAGAAGCAGAACTGCAAAAGCCAAAAAGCAAGGTTAGTACATTAAGAGACTTCCCCAAAACTATGGACTTTGACAGACTAAGTCTTTGCTTTAGTTTTTGGCAGGTGGTGCTGTCAACATGTTGAGTTTTACAGCCTGAATAGTAGTTCTGCCATGAAGTTAGCTGTGCTAAGGCTTTGGGGCCTACTAAGGTCTGGGGCCCTGTTACAATCCCATTCATATGACCACCTCTCAGAGAACAGAACAGCCAACTGAAGAGCACAACCTAAACTATTACAAGTTTCCTTTAGGACAGTGCTTTGATCCCAGTACCTGGGAGGGAGGGGCAGGAGGATACTTATCAATTCAAGGCCATCCTGGTCTACATAGTGAGTTCCAGGACACCCAGGACTTTTACATAACATAGAAAGACCCTGTTTCAGCTGACCCACGCTAGTGCGAGTTCATGGACTCTGGACTGTCAGCTGGGGCACCTGTTTAGGCCCTCTGAATGTGGGTGACAGTTGTATGGCTTGGACAGTTTATGGGGCCACTGGTAGTGGCACCAGGATTTATCCCTAGTGCATGAACTGGCTTTTTGGAACCCATTCCCTATGGAGGGATACCTTGCTGAGCCTAGACACAGAGGGCAGGGGATAGACTTTGTTGACTCTTCTTGGAAGGCCTCACCCTCTCTGAGGAGTGGATGGGGGGGGACAGGAGGAGGGGAAGGAGGGGGAACTAGGATTGGTATGTAAAATAAAAAGGTAGTTTACAAAAAGAAAATTATAAAAAATCATCTCTAGGTTCATATCAATATGAAAAAAGAGAAAGATGTGTGTGTGTGCATGAGCACAAGCATGTACACGCACACGCATGTACTTGTACAACCAGAGAGTGTGTGTGAGGTCAAAGGACAACTTCCAAGAGCTCCTTTCTTCAAGTATATGGGCTCCAGGGATCAGACCCAGATGAGATCCAGTTTGGCAGCAATTGCTTTTACCTGAGATATCTCGACAGCTCCAAAAACTTAAAAATATCTTGAGCTGGGTATAGTAGCCTAAGACCACCACAATGAGGGATAGAATTTCAGTAAGTGAAGGTTGGAATGATATAAACATTCAGACTGTTGCATACATTTAGCTCCCAACCTATGAGGGGCACACGTTTTCCCCCAACTTTTGAACAAGTTAAATAAAAGCCTTATTCCATACAGCAAGTAAACAAGTCAGGAACGGACTGACCCCCAAGCCCTGATTGCCATGGGGCATCCCTCACTCCATTCTGTCACATATGCGTGGCACTGTGCCTGCTCAGTTATTTCTAGTGATTGTGTCACCATGAGGCAGTGAAGCATTTTCTACAAGGAGCTGAGAATCAAGGATCTAATTCTAGCTCTCTCTGAGCTAGCTGTGTGATCTAAAGAAAGTATAACTCCTAAACAACTTTTCTCATTTATAAAAATGGTACATATACTGCTATCCTTCAAAAATTTTTTAGTTAATTATTTATTTTTCAAGACAGGGTTTCTCTGTGTAACCCTGACTGTCCTGGAACTCATTCTGTAGACCACTTGAATTCAGATCTTCCTGCCTCTGCCTCCCAAGTGCTGGGACTAAAGGTGTGCACCACCATGGGTGTTTTGCCTGCATGTATGTATGTGCACCACATGTATGCCTGGTGCCTAGAGGCCTGGAACTGGAGTTACAGACGGTGATGAGCTGCCATGTGGGCACTGGCCATCCATCCCAGGTCTTCTGGAAGAACAGCTCTTTTTTTATTTGAATAAGGAATTCTTTTTTTTTTAAAGATTTTATTTATTATGTATACAACATCCTGCTTCCATGTATGTCTGAAACAAGAAGAGGGCACCAGATCTCATAACGGATGGTTGTGAGCCACCATGTGGTTGCTGGGAATTGAACTCAGGACCCCTGGAAGAGCAGTCGGTGCTCTTAATCTCTGAGCCATCTCTCCAGCCCAGAGCAGCTCTTTTTGTTTTTTATTTTATTTTTGGCCTTTCAAGGCAGGTAGCCTGGCTGTCCTGGACTAGGCTGGCCTCAGAGAGATCCCCCTGCTTCTGCCTCCAGACCACTGAGATTAAAGGCGTGCACCACCACCTAACTGCTGAGCCACCTCTCCAGCCCCAACAAATACCTGAGAACACTCAGAGCTGGTGCTAAGTAGGGTAACACTAGAGGTGTTTCTCTCAGCACTGTATGGGTCATAGGCCTGCTGCAGTGTCACTCACTGGGTCTGCTGACCCCACCTGCATCTGCTAACCTCAAGAGCCTGGAGGCATGTGTTCCGGAAGCTGCTGCAGGTGCTTCCAGTAAGCACACTCATGATGGAACTCACAGCCACAGAGAGGGAGCCCTGTAGTCTCTGATGAGCCTGGAGTAAGGGGGAAACCACATTAGTTCCAAAGCACTGGCTCTTGAGAGTGCCAAGGGGGCAAAGATACCAGTCAAGGTAAAGTATCCACAGTTCCACCACCAATACTTAATAAGATAATAATGTTGTTTTCTGCCGGGTGTTGGTGGCACACACCTTTAGTCCCAGCACTCGGGAGGCAGAGGCAGGTGGATCTCTGTGAGTTCGAGACCAGCCTGGTCTACAAGAGCTAGTTCCAGGACAGCCTCCAAAGCCACAGAGAAACCCTGTCTCGAAAAAAAAAATAATAGTAATAATAATAATGTTTTCTGTTGTGACAGAAACATTCTCTCCTTCCATAGAGATGCTATAATGATATGACATACCAAGAAAAGATAGTAAGACTCTGGGTAGGGACAGGGAATTTGGCTCAGTGGATAGAATGCTTGCCTAGCGTGCATGAGACCCTGGACCAGCACAGAATAAACCAGGTGTGGTAGCACATACCTGTAATCCCAGCACCCTGGAGATAGAGGCAGGAGGAACAGAAAGAAAGCCAAGATCATTCCCCACTAAGAGTTTGAGGCTAGCCTAGGCTGTATCAGTCCTGGTTTTCCAAACAAATAAAACATGTTTGGCACTGGAAAGATGGCTCAGTTATGACCAAGTACTGTTATCTGAGAGATTTTGTTCCCAGCACCTATGTCAGGCAGCTCACAGAACCTAACTCCAGTGTCCTCCATCCCCCCCACCACAAGCACATAATAATGTATTTTATTTTGTTTGTATGTTTGTCTCTATGTATTATGGCAGGGTCTCTCTGATAGCACTGGCTGGCTAGAAACTCACTGTATAGATCAGACTGGCCTGGACTTCAGAGATCCACCTGTCTCCACCTCCTGAGACCCGGGATTAAAGATGTATGCCACCACACCCAGCTTTTATTTATTTTTATTTTATGCATATGAGTATTTCTGCATGAATATTTTTGTACCATGTGTGTGCCTGGTGCCAGCAGAGGCCATAAGAAGGCTTTGCTCTTCAGTTGGCTGTTTTTCCTACAAGGGGTGGGCATAGGAAGTAGGAAGTATATTATCAAAAGTGCACAGATTGGAAGCATCAGCTCCAGGGAATATGTGGGATTGAGATGCACAGATACAAAGAGGCATGGCTGGATGGTGGTGATGCACACTTATAATCCCAGCACTCTGGAGGCAGAGGCAGGCAGGTCTAAGAGCCTGGTCTACAGAGTGAGTTCCAGGACAGCTAGGGCTACACAGAGAAACCCTGTTTTAGAAGAAAAAAAAAGAGGAACAGGTGTGGCAGCAGTGTGTGTGTGTGTGTGTGTGTGTGTGTGTGTGTGTGTGTGTGTGTGTGTGTGTGTGTGTGTGATTTCTGTGGCTGCTCAAGCATAATCTGGTCCACCTTAAAGTTAAGCTTTAAGTGAAAGCTTAACTCCCTGTCCAGATTCAGTGTTAGGAACTCACTAGGGTGATAGAATAGAAGATGCATCAGGGAGACTATACACTCCCAGGTTATAATTTATTACCTGAGCAGCCTGGTGATGTCGTTCCAAGACCTGGTCCACGGCTGACTGGATGGAATCTTGCACTGTGCTGCGGCTCTCTGAGAGGATGGCACTGAGATGAGCTGTGAGCAAAGTGTGGAGTCCTAAGAGGATGAGAATGTTGGGGTCCATAAATGAGGATGACAGAGTTCAGGACTTCCGTCCACGTGCTCTGTCAGGTAATGATCCTGAAGAAGCTGCTTCCACCTCTCCACAAATAACTAATTTTTAGAGACAGCCCTTCCCAATTCCCATTTGCAAATAAATGCTTAATCCATGCTACAAACAGTGATAGTGGCATCTTACAAAGGAGAAGGAAATCTCTTAGCAGTGTCTAACCCTCTTCCATGCCCACTTGAGCATCACTGTTAAGTGAGTCTCCCTTGTAAGCAGTGTGCCATTTCTTTCCAATGTACTGTGGTAAAGAAAGGCTAAAACTTACAAAAATGACCCTGGGAAGACAGTTTAAAATGGGGTGAGGGCTAGGGATGCAGCTCAGTTGGTAGAGTGCTGGCCTAGTGTGTAAACAGCCCTGGGTTCCATCCCCAGCATCACATAAACCGGGCATAGTTCCACACAGAGCTTGAGGCTACCTGGGGAACACAGGATCTTGTCTCAGACTCATTAAACATAAGCAAAATGGAGGTGATCTCAGATAAAGTAACCATGGTTACCTTGCTTAGCATCACTCAGAAACTGACATGGGGCTGGAGAGGTGGCTCAGTAGTTAAGGGCACTTGTTCTTACAGAGGACCATGCTCAACTCCCAGCACCCACCTGGTGACTCACAACTGTCTGTAACTCCAGTTCCAGGGGATCCCACTCATGTTATGGAGCTCTGATCTGAGGATGCTAAGCACCCATGTGGTATATATACATACACATAGGTGAAACCTTACACACACACACACACACTCACACACACACACACACACACACACACACACACACACACACACACACTTTTCAAAAAAGTAAAAGAAGGGGGGCTGGAGAGATGGCTCAGTGGTTAAGAGCACCACACCAGCTACTCTTCCAGAGAACCTGGGTTCAATTCCCAGCACCCACATGGCAGCTCACAACTGCCTAGCACCCTTGCAAAGACATACATGCAGGCAAAAATGTCAATGCACATAAAAATAAATATATTTAGCCAGGCGTTGGTGGCACATGCCTTTAATCCCGGCACTCGGGAGGCAGAGGCAGGCAGATCTCTGTGAGTTCAAGGCCAGCCTGGTCTCCAGAGCAAGTGCCAGGATAGGCTCCAAAGCTACACAGAGAAACCCTGTCTCGGAAAAAAAAGTAAAAGAAGGACCAGTTCCTATCACAGGGCACCATAATGCTCTCCAGGGAGAGAAACTTGTATATGGATTTAAAAGGAATGTGGAACTAGAAATAAGAGAAATAGATTAAAGTTCTTTTTTAAAAATTTTTATCACCAGCTAATGGTGATGAGGTAACTTCCCTCTTCTCATTTCAGTGCAGAAAATAGCTTTGCTTATGTGTTCTCTCAGTTGTTGTCTAGATAAACTGGGGTCATGTAAAATGAAGTATTCTGAAACACACACGCAATGTTCAAAGGGGAATATTGCTGTTGCTATGGTGATGGAGCACGTGGATTCTATTTTATATACTCTGGACCCAAGAAGAACCAAGAAATGAGAAGTTTTTGAAGGCAGGCATTTAATTAAAAAAAAAAACAAAGTTATTCCTGAAACTGCTCCTACCACCAGATGCTTTTGGCACTGTGGCAAAATAAGGAGTTAATCATAGAAGTTACCATGACAAGGTGGGCGGGAGGCCAGCGACTGATTTTTTTTTTTTTTAAAGACACATGAACACAGCCTAATTCTGCACAATCTGTTTCCTAAAGCACAGAGCTCTGAAGAAGGTGCTCAAGGAAGTGAGAAAGGGTGGGGAAATACAGGTCATACTAACCCTGCTGCCCCTCACTGTATGTCCTCCAGAGGCCTAAGCCACAGCATTTAAGACACCTGCTATGCAACAGTTTTTAAATTTTATTCTTTTTTTAAGATTCAGAACTTCATGTTTATCTGTATACATGCATGTGTGTATGTATACACACATGTCTCCAGATGCCCACAAAGGCCAGAAGAGGGTTTCAGATCCCCTTCCTGGAACCTGAAACACGGACAGTTGTAAGCCACTTCACCAGGTGCTGGGACCCAACCTCTGGACCTCTGTAAGAGCAGTATTTGCTCTTGACCACAGAGCTATTTCTTCAGCCCTCACAGTGATTTTTGTTTTGAGACAGGGTCTCATTATGTAGCTCAGGCTAGCCTGGAACTGGCTGTGTAGACCAGGATGGCTTCAAACCTAGTGATGTGCCTGCCTGTCTCCCAAATGTAGGGATTAAAAACGTGTGTCATACACTAGGTAGTGGTATTGCACGCCTATAGTCCCATCACTGGGCAGGGGGCGGGGCAGAGGCAGGTGTATCTCTGCATTTGAGACCAGCCTCATCTACAGAGTAAGTTCCAGTATATCAAGGGCTACAGAGAGAAACCCTGCCTCGAAAAAAGAAAAATAAATAAAACAAAAGGAAGCATGTGCCACCACACCTGGATTTTTATTTATTTTATTATTGTTTTTTAGCAGTGAATTTTTAAGGTTTCTTTTTTCTTTGTTGTTCTTATTTTTGTTTTGAGACAGGATTTCTCTGTGTAGCATTGGCTGTCCTGGAACTCACTCTGTAGACCAGGCTGGCCTCGAGCTCAAGAGATCCATCTGCCTCTGCCTCCTGCATGCTGGGATTAAAGGTGTGCATCACCACTGCCCAGCAGCAGTGAATTTTTTTTTTAAGATTTATTTATTTTTATTATGTGTACAGTGTTCAGCCTGCATGTTGCCTGCAAGCCAGTAGAGGGCACCAAATCTCATTACAGATGGTTGTGAGCCACCATGTGGTTGCTGGGAATTGAACTCAGGACCTTTGGAAGAACAGGCAGTGCTCTTAACCGCTGAGCCATCTCTCCAGCCCCGTGCAGTGAATTTTTAATCTAACACCGAGTTTAACTACTGAGAAGTTGCAGGCCTGTAGAGATATGCTGAACAGAGGTATGTAAGTTATCCTGGCACAACAAAAATGGTAAGTAACACTGTTTTCAAGGCATCTGAGTTCTCTGGGAATGTTCAATAGGACTTGGAACATAGTGTCAAACTCAAATTATCCTCTGGCAAGCATTTTAAAATGCCAGAACTACAGCTCTTAAGCCTCAGGCAGGCATGCAGCCTCTGAAAGGCCTTTGATATCACCTAGCTTAACAACTCATATTAAAGATTGAAGGGAGGCTCAGATGAGCTATGTGACTTGGTTTTCAAACATCACTGAGGAGGCTGCAGTTAGAGCAAAAGGAAAACCAGCTGTTTGAATTCTACCTGGAGTCCTCGCCATTGCTTCGCTCATCGGTTTGTGTTTGTGTGCACATGCCCCAGAATCTTCACAAAACTCTCCTTGCTTGAACTTCTTTAGCCCGAGTCTAGGTGCCATTTCTTGTAACTTTCCTCAGTTTAGAAATGCGTTATCAACTCTTAAAACTTTCTTCCCAGGGTTCATTGGATTAAAGCATGTGATTAAAACACTCAAAGGTGCCAGGTGGTGGTGGTGCACGCCTTTAACCCCAGCACTCAGGAGGCAGAGGCCAGCCTGGTCTACAGAGTGAGTTCCAGTACAGCCAGGACTGTTTCATAGAGAAACCCTGTCTCAAAAAAACAAAAACAAAAACAAACAAACAAAAGATACTCAAAGGCTTCCAAATATTTACTACGTGTGAGAATCAAGTTATGGAAAAACGTAACGCTTCAACCATTCTGGATTTTTACAATATATAGCAAAAATAATAAATGAACCTTGACCCAGGAAGCTTCACATCTTCAAAAAACCTAGTTGATTCAAACATTTGTGTTTTGTGGTCCACAAACTGAATTCACCAAGTTACCCATAGGAGGTTACTGTGCACCTAACAGACACATACCAAAGCACTGTAACTGCGCTTGCACAATGACTGGCTTCTTCCCTTGACTTTAGAAAGGCAGTGATAATTCTTTACATATTACACAAATATCCAGTTTAGGCAGATATATGTATTATTCCTATAGCCACTTCTTTACCTACTTAGCACACCCTCCTAGCTGTCGCATTATCCTACACATACCCCAGATTTCTACTTGCTGGACTGGGAATCCATCATGGAAATCCACAAATAGGAAAAGTAGCAGAGCTGGTCCCTGTGAGTCCATATCCTGAGACTGATTCCCCTCGTTGGACTCCACTTGATAACTCACATCTGGAAGCACCAAGTCTAAAGAAAAAGATAAAAGACAAATTTGTAAGACCCTTATACACTAACTTATAACAAATTTATAAGACCCTTATACACTAACTGACCCAGAACCATATCCTGACCAAGAAGGAACTACTAGGTCTAAATCCAAACATTCATTTCCACTCTCGAATCTGTTCCTCTACCCACATTATGGAAACAAAATAATATGCCTTTCATGAAGAACATTAAAATAGCCATGTATATAAAATACAAAGGAAATAGCACCCTTGTGCATTTGCTATGAAAGCATTATACAATAAATTTATTTCTTGTGTAACTTTTTTTTTTTTTTTTGAGAAAGGATCTCTAATGCTGGCTGGCCTGAACCTTGATAGTAGACCATTGCTGGGATTAAAGGAACACCCACCTGGCCTTTTTGTGGACCTTTCATTCTTCTTTTCTTTCTTTCTTTCCTTTTTTTTTTTTTTTCATGACAGGGTTTCTCTGTGTAGCTTTGGAGGTTGTCCTGGCACTCATTCTGTAGACCAGGCTGGTCTCTAACTCACAGAGATCCACCTGCCTCTGCCTCCCGAGTGCTGGGACTAAAGGCGTGTGCCACCAATGCCCAAGTTGTGGACCTTTCTTAAAACAATTTATTTTTTTTGTGCATTGGTGTGACGGTGTCAGATCCCCTGGGCCTGGAGACAGTTGTGAGGTGCCATGTGGGTGCCAAGAACTGAATCAGAGTCCTTTGTAAGAGCAGCAAATACTCAACACTGAGCCACCTCTCTAGCTCCTTCTTGTGGGCTGTTATTTTCTTATGTATACAGGCACTTTGTCTGCATGTATGTCTGCAGACCAGAAGAGGGCATCAGATTGTGAGCTGCCATGTAGGAGCTAGGAATTGAACTCAGGACCTCTGAAAGAGCAACCAGTGCTCTTAACCACTGAGCCATCTCTCTAGCCCCTCTAATGGACCTTTCTAAGGTAGATCTGGCTATTAAGAGGCAGAGGTCAGATTCAAACTTGAGTAATGATATTCCAGGTAACTTGTGCTACATGCCAGGTACCATGTTAAATTCCTTGTATGTACTTTCTCAAGATTTAGACTTCATAAAACTCTTGAGTAAGATCAATTTTATAACCTTTTACAAGTAAGAAAATATGTAATTGGGGGTGTCTCTGTCCACCCTGTCCCATAGCCGCTTCCAAATAATCACTTAGGGGCCTATATTAACACTCAGGCATATTACTAACTAACTCTTACAATTAAATTAACCCATATTTCTATCTATGTTTTGCCATGTGGCTCAAGGCTTGTTGTTACATCACTTTCTACACATCCTGCTTGTTGGGCAGCGGGCTGGCATCTCTCGACACCACCCTTCTTTTCGCCGTCATTTTAGTTTGGCTTTTCTGCCTAACCTTATCCTTCTTGGTATTGGTCTGTCAGCTTCTTTAGTAAACCAATCAGATCATAATCTACACAGTGTACAGGAATATTCCACAGTCTGGTTAAATACTTTGTCTAATGAGCTGAGTTACGGTATACTTTGCCCTAACAACTCCAAATCTGGACCCTTTAAAATTCCATAAGGGCAATCCCACACCCAGATTCACAATAAAGAACATCTCCCTGTGGATCCTAGTTCTGTCCTTTAAGAACTGAAGGAGGGGACGTGGTGTGGCAGCATACTCCTATAATCTTAGTACTTAAGAAAATAAATACTAGGAGGATTACAGCAAGTTGAGGACAGCCTATGCTACAAAGTTTGACAGGGTGTGACCCTGTCTCAAAAAGCAAAAAAAAAAAAAAGAGGGGATATTTTCCTATATTATTCATTTACAAAGTTAACTGACCAAAAGTTAAGACACAGTTGATGTACGAGATCCTTCTGTATGCTGCAAATATGTGTTGTGATTTGGCCAATGGACAGGCAGGATTTAGCTAGGTGGGAATTCCAAGCAAAGAGGCAGGGAAAACCTGGGCGTTGGTGGCGCATGCCTTTAGTCCCAGCACTCGGGAGGCAGAGCCAGGCGGATCTCTGTGAGTTTGAGACCAGCCTGGTCTACAAGAGCTAGTTCCAGGACAGCCTCCAAAGCCACAGAGAAACCCTGTCTCGAAAAACAAACAAACAAACAAAAAACCAAACAAACAAAAAGAGGCAGGGAAAAGAAAAACAAAAGAGAAACACCATGCAGCTACTGGGAAGGTAGGACGCCTGGGCATTCTCCTGTAAGGTAATGCCACATGGAGACACACAGATTAATAGTTATGGGTTAATAATTAAGAAAGAGCTAGCCAGTAAGAAGCCTAAGTCAATGGCCAATTATAAGTAGATATTAAGTCTCAGAATGGTTATTTCATAACAGCTGCAGGGACCTGATTGGGTGGAGAGAAACCAGTTCAGTGGGACTAAGACTACAGGAAAAAAAACCTAACATGCTGAACTGTGGAAACAATGGAAACCAATAAAGTCTAAGAATAAAAATGAAAGGAGCAAAAAAATAATGAGGGCTGGGACTGTTGCTCTGTTGGTAGAGTGTTGCCTAACACACATGAAACTCTTCAATCCCTAGCACTGTATAAATCAGACATAGTGACACATGCCTGTATCCCAACACTTAAGTGGTAGAAGCAGAGGTTCAAGGTCATTCTTGGCTTTATATCAAGTTGGAGGCCAACATAGGCTACAATGAGATGAATCTCAATTGTTTGTTTGCTTTTTAAAGATTTATTTATTTACTATGTATACAGTGTTCTGTCTGCATGTATCCCTGTTGGCCAGAAGAGGACACCCGATCTCATTACAGATGGTTGTGAGCCACCATGTGGTTGCTGAGAATTGAACTCAGGACCTCTAGAAGACCAGCTAGTGTTCTTAACCACCAAGGCATCTCTCCCAGCCTCCTCAATTATTTTTTAAAATAACATCCCAGAAATCCAGTTAGACCTCCCTTCTATTCAAAACCCATGGCACCCCACCTGTTAAGACCACAAATCATTTCCTCTCAAAACTACTTACTCCCAGAGTCTGTCCAAGAATGCTCCCCTCTCATCCCATATTCTGGACACCTGTGTTCTCAGAAACAAAGACCCTTCCCTGGAGGCTAATTTCTTAGATACCCTCAAGATGCTGCTTTATCCCAAGATGCAGCAAAATTTTCATGCTAGTGAAAATCTTACAACATCCCTTTCTCTACTGGCCATTTTCTCATAGGGCTCAAATAGTTAAAATCAGAACTGAAAACCTCCAAGACCTTCACCGTGGTTGCAGCCCTATTTATTGATCCAGCCATTAACCATTCAATTTCTGATAAGCATGCCAATTGACTTATGTGCATGTGTTTGTGTACCCATGTGCTATGATGCACGTGTGGAAGTCAGAGTTCTCCTTCTACCTTGTGTATTCCAGGGAAAAAAACTCAGGTCATCAGGGCTCGGTAGCAGGCACCACTGAGCCATCTTGCTGGTCCTAACCTTCCAACGTTTACTACAACTTACCCCAAATTAACATGGTTAGACCCTCCATGCTTTCCAGGTTTAATGCCATTAAAGCTGGCATTTGTGCTGTGTTTAATTTCTCCTAAGTAGTTTTCTGTGCACAAACACTCATTTCAATAGGAATCATTTCTCTTCCACGTACAGAAGAGTGGTTGTTCCCTCACCTACTGTTCCAAAGCTCCCAAACTGACAAATGAATATGACAGAAACCTTCCGAGAAAGGTCTGGGAAAGCATGAGAAAGAGAGGCGCCAGTGGAAGAGAAAAGCAGGCACTCACCACGCTTTGTGTGGAGCACACTGCCTTTTCTAAGTGGACTCTCAAATGTGGTCAGATCATCATCCTCTTGTCAAGCCAAAGTATTACTAGGTCCTATTTTCACAGACATCTGCTTATATATTCATTTCTCTAATTCTTTGGTTTCTAATTTTTGGTACAAAATATAGATACACACCTGTATCCAAATTGAGATCCAAAGTGGGCACCATAAACAAATTGTGTTTCTTCGAGTCAATGAAATAAGAGGTATCTCTGAAGACGGTGGTACTTGGCTGCTCCTGATCTGATATCAGAGGCAGACCCAAAGGTCCATATAGAAATATGTATAGCTGCTAAAGAAAACTGTCAAACTGTCTTACAACTATGTTCTTGTATAAAACAAACTTCATATTGGCTTGGTTCACACGCATAGGAATATATACATATGTTATAAAATTACATGCTTAGTTAGCTTTTTCCACTGCAAAGACAGGTATGATGTACCAGAGATCTACCAGGATCCTCAGGCTTTTGCAGGGGGTTAGTGAATGACAATTTATTGATTCATCTTATTCATCTGATCATAAATTTGAGTGGCACCACAATCTAAACACAATACTATGTTCTGGAGGTATGAAGATGAGTAACTAGATTCTGCGGTCTCAAGTTTTACCATATTTTAGTATGGTAGACACATAAAACCTAGTAAATTTCAATACAAGGTAGTGCATGCTTGGATAGAACTGCATACAAAGGAGTAGTTTCTTTTCTTTATTTTTTTTCTTTTTTTTTCCTTGGATAGAACTGCATACAAAGGAGTAGTTTCTTTTCTTTATTTTTTTTTCTTTTTTTTCTAAGACAGGTTTTCACTGTGTAGCTTGAACTCACAGAGATCCACCTGCCTCTGCCTCCTGAGTGTTGGGATTAAAGGCGTGCACCACCAATGCCCAGCTAAAGGAGTATTTTCTAGAAAGTAATTGAGTGCATTTGTATTGAGAGAAACTTCCTCTCATTTTATCCAACCCTATTCTTCAATCAAGACAAAGGCCTGGAAATAATCACTCCCCTCTGGACTTTTGCTTTCTTGTGTTCGTTCCCCAAAAAGGATTTCTCAATATGTATTAGTACTTGACACTTGGAGGCAGATGTTCCTTGTTGGGTGAGGGGCTGACTGTATACTATGGAATAAAATGTTTTGGAAAGTCACAGAACAAAGGGAGGCTGGACTGTCAAAGTCTCTCTCACAGATCTCAGCAGGCATTAGCAAAGGAATTAAGTCCAACACACTAATTGCTCATGGTCAGAGGATCTTTGAGTTGCTTCACATACAATGTGAAGAATAAAAAACAGTATCTGGAGTCTAAGCATATGATTGGGTATTTTTTTTCTGCATAGCCCTGGCTGTCCTGGAATTAGCTCTGTAGACCGTGCTGGTCTTGAACTCAGAGATCACCTTCCTCTGCCTCCTGAGTGCTGGGATTAGAGGCATGCATCACCACTGTCCAGCTGGTGTTTTACTTTAAAAAATCTCATTTTCATTTTATTTTTACAGGTGTTTTGTCTGCATGTATATCTGTGTGACACATACATGCAGTGCCTTTCAGGCCAGAAGAAGGCACTGGGTCCCCTGGAACTGGAGTTACAGTTGTCAACTGCTATGTGGTAGCTGGGAATCAAACCCAGGTCCTCTCGATAAGTTGCAAGTGATCTTAACCACTAAGCCATCTCTCCAGTCCTACACTCTTTGAGGCAGGGTTTCATGTATCCTAGCCTGGCCCCAAACTATGTAGTCAAGGATGACCTTGAACTTTTGATCCTGTCTTCACTTCCCGAGTACTGAGATTACAGTGTGTACCACTATTCCCAGTTTATGTAGTAGTGAAGTCCAAATGCAGGGCTTTGAACATGCTAGTCAAGCAATCTACCAGCTGACCTATATTACCAGACCTTAACTGGATGCTTAAAACCATTTACATTTAATATGAACACAGCCATGGATGGACTTAAATTTATCCCCTTGTTATATGTTTTCCATTTGTTCTCTTTACTATTTTTGGATTCTATTTTGGATTGAGTATTCTATCTCTGTTTTAACATATTAGTCATGACTCATTGCCTTAGGCTTTAATAATTATATCAGGATTCAACAGTTGACATATATAGAAGAATTCAACAATACATTTTCATTTCTTGCTGATTGACTCTGTGTTATTTTGTTGTCAAGTAAGATTTAGAAGTGGATCAAGACATATCATATACATGCATGAAATTGTCAAAGAATACATTTTTTGTTTTATTTTGAGACAGGGTTTCTCTGTGTAGCACAGGCTATCCTAAAACTCACTCTGTAGACCAGGCTGGCTTGGAACTCACAGAGATCTGCCTGCCTCTGTCTCCCAAGTTCTGGGATCAAAGGTGTGCATTACCACCGCCTGGCTAATGATTACAAATTTTAAAGGATTTCCCTATGCATTTTTATAATACTGCTTGTTAGTGAATTCTTGACTCTTTTGAATGTCTGAAAAAGTCTTATTTTTAATTCACTGTTTTTTTGTTTGGGAGTGGGGGGTTCTGGTGGGGGAGGTTCTCACTCTGTATCCCAGGCATTTTCCAGCTTCTTGATCCCATATAAGACTATAAGAATGAACCAACAGGACCAGCCCTTGTCTTCACTTTGTGTGTTTGTGTGTGCATGTGTAGGTCAGAGGACAACCTTGACTGTCATTCTTCAGATACCATCCACCCTGTTTTGAGAGTGTCTCACTGGCCTCAAATTTGTCAATTAAGGGAGGCTGGACAGCCAGTAGGCCCCAAGAATCCACCCATTATTCAGAAACAAATTTAACTCCAATCTGATGTCATGACACAAGAATTTTTCCACTTAGCCTGATGGGGATGGAAACAGTCCTGGCTTTGTGTGGGCCAGCACTGGCCTGACTAGAACCCTGTATCTATGCATTTCTCTACAGTTTTCCTATAAGTTCTAGTTACCTGGCTCTCAAATCATCTGGTCTCAGATACATCAGATTCTAGGAGATTGTCCCTGCCTGCTCCAAAGCCTGGAGATTCTCTCTGGCAGTCTGGCAATGCAATCTGCTTTCTCTTTAGAACACTGTTCTGCACAACATGTTATATAACAGCCTTACTATTTGCCTTGACAAAAAAATGGTCATCTACTTTGTGTTGAACAATTTTCTTTCATCCATAATTTTGGGGGTTCTGTTTTCTAGGGTCATTATAACAGTAACACTGGGATTAAAATAATGGTAATAGAGAAAGGGCAGCATTTACTTTTATAATGAAAATTATCTGATAGGGAAACAGAGTAAAGCTTAGGTCTTTGCACATCACAGCTGCCTATTGATGGTGTTCTTTGCCTTACAGAAGCTTTTGATTTCATGAGATCCCATTTATTATTATTATTATTATTATTATTATTATTATTATTATTATTATTATTGGTTTTTCGAGACAGGGTTTCTCTGGGGCTTTGGAGGCTGTCCTGGAACTAGCTCTTGTAGACCAGGCTGGTCTCAACTCACAGAGATCCGCCTGGCTCTGCCTCCCAAGTGCTGGAACTAAAGGCATGTGCCACCAATGCCTGGTGAGATCCCATTTATTAATTATCAATCTTAGTGACTGCTATTGGTGTTCTGTTAGTTGTCTCCTGTGCCAATGCTTTCAAGATCATTTCCCCTTTCTCTTTTAACAGGTTTAGTGTATCTGGATTTATGTTGATGTCTTATATCCACTGGGACTTGAGTTTTGTGCAGGGTGATAGGTATAGACTGACATGCTGAAATCCAATCAGATTGTTGAAGATGCTTTCTTTTTTCCATTGTATGATTTTGGCATCTTTGTCAGGTGTTCATAAGTGTGTGGATTTATGTTTGGATCTTCAATGAAGCAAAGGCTGACTGTAAAGCATGGTGGGATACTGATGAGGCACAAAGGAGGTAAGGAAAGAGCCATAATAATAATAAAAATTTACCTGCCTTGTGAACAACATTAAACACCTATGGTTTGCAATGATAAATTAAAATATTATTGCTAATCAGGCCTGGTGATAGTGGCGCACGCCTTTAATCCCAGCACTCAGGAGGCAGAAGCAGGTGGATTTCTGTGACTTTGAGGCCAGCCTGATCTACAGAGTGAGTTCCAGGACAGCCAGGACTACATAGAGAAACCTTGTCTCAAAAAAAATATTGATAATCCATCTATTCCACTTGTCAAGTCCCCAAAAGCATGTAATGTCTGATGGTACCAATTTGACTATCTGCACGTAGAAGGTAACCTGGGAAGCTGCACACCACCATTCATGCCTACACAACACACATGTTTATTTTATGTGATATTTGCAACATGATGTGGTCATATACAAAATCCCCATTGTTATAAAAACAAAAAGGTAAAACTCATGATGTCTTAAGTAAGTTTACAACTTGGTGCTGGGCCACCACATTCATACCTATCCCGGGCCACAAGATATCACAGCCATGGGTTGGACATCCTTGTGTGAAGACCTTTACGTGGATTATAATTCTCCACCACAGCAGGTGAAAATCAATCCATGAGACACTCTCATCTTTACTTTAAAGTGGAGGAAACAAAGAGTTAGGCTGGCTAAATCAGTTGCTTCTATCACACAGCATTTACACCCCTGTGTCCCAGACTCAACAAGAACATTTATTCATGGGATAAATCGGGTGGTGGCTCACATCTATCATCCTAGCACTTAGGAGATGGAGGCAGAAGGATCATAAGTCTAAGGGTATCCAAAATTACTGAGTTTGAATCCAGTCTGGGAAATAAGAGATCCTGTCTTAAAAGCAAACAAATAAACAAAACCACTCCTTGCCCTAGACTCCCCCAACTTCAGTAATGAATACTGGTTTCCTTATGTTAAGTTCTCCCATGTTAACTCTTGCCTTTCTATACACTTAGTTTTAACTCAGCTCTTATTCTGCTTCACTCTCTTATTTAGTAATTACTACCTCTTCTCCTACAGCACTCTGAACATGCTGTGAGACACTCTTGCCAAAGTATTCTGTGTTTTCTCACCATAGAGAAGGCAGGCCACATTCCTTAGTAAGGCATGCAAGATCTGGATCTACACACTCTGACTCCAACCATTTTTTTCTGGTCTCATTTCTACCTTTCACTATCTGTTGTAGTCTTCAGTTCTTTGGCAAATACTTCAACCCTAGCATTCACATTTTATAGAAATCACACAGTGTTACAGATAAATAATTCAAATATAAAGGCTTGCCTAAAATTAGAATTAAAAAAACTCATTTCTTTCTTTCTTTTTTTTTTTTTGAGAAAGGGTTTTTTTGGGGTTTTGAAGCCTGTCATGGAATTAGTTCTTGTAGACCAGGCTGGTCTCGAACTCACAGAGATCCACCTGCCTCTGCCTCCCGAGTGCTGGGATTAAAGGCGTGCGCCACCAACGCCCAGCAAAAAAAAAACAAAAAAAACAAAAAAAACAAACCTCCCGAGTGCTGGGATTAAAGGCATGCGCCACCAACGCCCAGCAAAAAAAAAAAACAAACAAAAAAAAACAAAAAAAAACTCATTTTTAAGGCAATTGGATAGAGCTTGTCAAAAGGATATGGAAACTGAAGAAATCCTATTCAGTTGGCTGGAGAAGACCTTGGGGCTGGGGCACAGAGCAGCAGCTGGAGTCAGTGTCAGTTCTCCCAACAAGCCCATGTCAGCCGTGCCATCAGGGATGGATAGCAGTGCTGGATGTCCTAGCACAGGGTGGATTCTGCTGCAGTATGATTCAGTTGAATTCAATTTTGGCTTACTATTAAAAAACATACAAGAGAAATTTGACTTTTTCTTCAAGAAATTATTTAATGGGCATTTTAAAATCCTTAACTGCTCAGTGTACACATGGCCATATGGCCCTCCAATCATCTTATCTGCATAAGATCAGAAAAATCTGGCATTTCAAAGACTGTATCATGGCTCCTGTTTTTGTTGTCTCTCATGGTAATTTTTTGTTCTCAAATTGAATTTTCTCCATTACTATTGTACTCTATTGTTCCAAGCATATGCTTCCAAAATCATTCAAAGATTCACATTGTGTGTGACAATGAGTGTGAGCAAATGGCCTAAAACTGGCCCCATAACACTTAAGAGTCGGCTTCTGTACACACTATACTTTCCTCAGCGTAGGTCTGAACAATGAGAAAAATTAGGCTCTTATAAACAAATACAAGAAAAGAAGAGAGAAGAGGAGGGGGATTGGAGGAGAGAAGGGGAGAGAAGAAGAAAAGAAAAGGCAAGGAGACAATTTCTAGCTTCTACCTCACATAATGCTGAAAGCCCACAACAAGAGTGATGCCACTGGACAGTCTCAAAGTAGGCTCCTTCTCTGCCCTGCAAATCAAAACAAAACAAAACAAGTCATCTCTGAAATCAGTCTCTAGTTGGCTCACCACTACTACCACCCAGAGATCACCTGAATTCAGCAACCCAAAACCAAAGGAAAATCACAACATTTAAGCTCATTCCTCTCAGTGACATGGAGAAATGTAAGGTTAGGAAAAATATATTTATTGGTTAAAAGCTAATATAGGATAAGAAAGTGTGAGGGTCTCAGGATTAGTTTCAAGGAGATTTTTGGGCTAAGAAATCAAACTATAAACCTGTTGGAAACACAGGTCAATCATGCTTAAAAATCATTCAGAACCATAAAATCATTTACCGACCCAAAGATCTCAGCAGAGCGGATCCCATTCACAGTTAAATGGAAATTAAACTTGAGCTGCAAAACAACAAATAAAGGGTAAGGTTTCATACTACTCCAGATAGAGATTTAAAAACATCCACACACAGAGCAGAGGAAGCTACAAGAGAAGTGTTGCTGCTTATACACCCAACCTGCTGGACCAGAAGAGGCCTCAGTGGAGTGCAGGGATCCCAGGGAACCACCTGGGATTTAAAACCTCCCCTTCCCCACAGACCAAAACCCACTAACAGTGAAGCTTCAGAGGCCAGTGCCCTTCCCCTTGACCCCCGAAGCACCACATGGAACATGCTAGAGTTAGAGAGAATCTGAGAACTTCATTTTCAACTCAGCACAGTTGTACAAGCAATTTACTCCATAAAAACTCTTCCTTCCTTTTCCTCTTTTTTTTTTTTTTTTGGTTTTTCTCTGTGTAGCCCTGACTGTCATGGAACTTGCTTTGTCATCAGGATGGCCTCAAACTCACAAATTCCCCTGCCTCTGCTGCCTAAGTGTTGGGATTAAAGGCATGCACCACCACTACTGGGCAAGACTCTTATTTCTTACTTCCTGTTATTTCTCAATCTTACACGTATGTCTTGGATGATTTTGCTTTTGTTTGTATTGTTCAGTTCGGTTTTAGGACTGTTTATACTTACTCCAAGGCATAATTTACTATGTTCCTCACCTGTATCTCTTATTCCCCCCTCTTATTTCTCTTCTTCTTCCTCTCATCATCCTTATCCTCTCACTGTAATTCTTAATTGTAATCCTCCAGATTTAACAATCCCAACTTCCCCCTGCCTGATGTTAAGAAATGTGGCACTAGAGTTGGGCATTGGTAGTGCACGCTTTTATTCCCAGCACTCAGGAGGCAGAGGCAGGCTGATCTCTGTGAGCTGGAAGCCAGCCTAGTCTTCAAAGAGAGTTCCAGGACAACCTCCAAACCTAAACAGAAATCCTCTCTCGAAAAACCAAAAAAAGAAAAACGGAAAAAAAAAAAAAAAGGAGCTCGGCACTAGAAAGATGCCATGCGACAGTGTTCAAGCAGAGGGTTTTGTTTTGTTTTGTTTTTTTAGGGAAAGGGATCATAAAAGAGGAAAGGGAAGGGAGCAGACCAGCCTCCAGAGACAGGAGCAGCAGGAGAGAGGAGAAACATACAGACAGACAGAGGGAGAGAAAGAGAGGAGGATGGGAGGTGGGCAGGGACCTTTTAAAAGGGAACATAGTGAATATGCACAGGTGGTGCTCTTAGTGGCTGCAGTTGAGGGCAAATCCTGTCAGAATCCCAAGGACAGGCCAGTAGAGATTCCTAAATACTAAATATCTGGTACTTTATCCACATCAATTTTTTTCAAATTTTAATCCTTAATTCTTATCCTTACCCATTCTCCATCTCTCCCACTTCTAATCTTTTGCAAATCAACTTTAAAAATTTTTAATTATCTGTAAATGTTCATATTGGTGCAGTGACACCAGAAGCCAGAGAAGGTGTCAGATCCCCTGGAGCTGGAGTTACAAGTAGTTATGAGCTACCTGATATGAGTGCTGGGAACTGAACTCAGGTCCTCATGCAAAGCACATACTGCTCTTTGTTTTACAAAAGATTAGAAGTGGGAGGGAAGACAATGTGTGTTTAACCACAGATCAATCTCTCTTGTTCCCAACTCATCATTTTATTGACTAAAATCTGAGTAGAATCCATACTATCCTTGGTTGTTTACCTCTAGCAATTATGAAGTTAGGGCCCACTGTTGTTAATTGGCTACAAAGGCATTTGCATAGCAATATAAAGCAGCTGGGCTGTGGTTGTTCTTCCAGTTAGTATCCTAAGAATATAGAACTTATGCCAGACACCCTTGAGCTCCTGGACTGAGGTATTATTCTCTGAAGTACATATTGAACTCTATCACATCCAAGTCCTACTTGGAAATTGCAAATACTTCAAGTGAAGCAATATAGCTGATTAAAAAAAAAGCAAAACAAGCAATGAAATAACAACAGATGATAAATCTCAATGCATTAACATAAGAAATAGAAATGAGCCGAGCGTTGGTGCCTCACACCTTTAATCCCAGCACTCGGGAGGCAGAGGCAGGCAGATCTCTGTGAGTTCGAGGCCAGCCTGGTCTCCAGAGCAAGTGCCAGGATAGGCTCCAAAGCTATACAAAAAAGAGAAACCAAAACCAAAATCAAAAAAAAAATCAAAGCAATCTCAAGTGACTTAACAACATGCCTTAGAGAAACAACAAGCCCCAAGTCAACAGAAGAAAAAAGTCACTTATGATCAGGGCAGACATTAACTACAAGAAAACAACAATAACAACAAAAAATACATATTTGGGACTCTGAGAAGATAAACAAGACATAAAGTTCTAGCCAAACTAACCAACAGAGAAGACTCAAATGAATGAAACGAGATAAAAAGGGAACCATTACAAATTGCAAATATGCAATTTAAAGAATCAGTAGGTCTTATCTTGAAAAAAAATGTATGTTTCTCTAAACTAGAAAACCTAAAGCTCATGATCCACCAAAATTAAATCAAGGTGAACCTGGCATTGGGGAGCATACCTTTGATCCCATATTCAGGAGGCTGAAGCAGACAGACCTTTGAGTTCTAAACCAAGGTCTAAACTTGGATTACATAGCAAAATCTAGATCAGCCAGGGCTACTCAGTGAGGTTCTTTTTCTTGTTTTTGTTTTTAAAAAACTATAATAAAGTGATACTATTTAAAGAGCAAACAACTTTACCTTCTGATGAACTATGATGACTTTTCGTAAAAACTGCTTTATAATCAAACAGTCTTTCTTCAAACTTTGAGGACTTTCATCAGCCTGTAACAAGAACACACACCCTGTAACTCCATGTATGTAAATCCAACAGGAAAAATAAGTTAAATAGGCATTTCTTCCTATAAAAGTAAATATTCAGGGTATCCCAGCCCACAACTCCAGTGGAAGCCCCTGCTCCACCAGGGATCAAGCGGGTAGCCAGAACTCATATAAATGCTTCCAACTCTCTCAGTGCCTGTCCAGCCCTCCCCTCCTTGTTACCGTATCCTGACCTCTGGAGGACCCTTGGCTGGACCAAAGAACATACCGGGCTGCCAGAACTTCAGCCCCCAATTCAGGTGGAAACTCCCTACTCAACAGAGGCCACCCCAGCCATCAGAAGTCTACCCCCCCCAACTTGTGTGGAGACTGACCTACTGAACCACAGGCCACTTTAGCCAGAAGATCAGGGAGGAAACAGAAACAAAGGGAATAAAACACCCATCCAACAAAGGTAAACTCAGAAATCAGCACCTAGACCTCTAATCACCTCAAACCCAGATGCCTAGATGTCAGTGTAAGAACACAACTGGCAACAGCCAGGGCAATATGTCACCAATAGAGCCCAGCTATCCTACTACAGCAAGCCCTGAGTATCCCAACACAGCTGAAGCACAAGAAAATGACCTTAAAACCAACTTTATGAAAATTGGAAAGGTCCTTAAAGAGGAAAGTAATAAATCCCTTAAAAACTCGAGGAAAAGACAAACAAAAAATTGGAGAAAATGAATAAATCCCTTCAAGAAAGTCAAGAAAAACAAACAGTTGGAGGAAATGAATAAAATTGTTTGAGAACTGAAACTGGAAATAGAAGCAATAAAGAAAATACAAACAGGGAATTCTGGAAATAGAAAATCGAGGTAAGCAAACAGGAACTATAGACATCATCATTACCACAGCAAACATTACCAACAGAATACAAGAGATGGAGGAGAGAATCTCAGGCATTGAATATATAGAAGAAATAGATCCATGGGTCAAAGAAAATGTTAAATCTAAAAAATTCCTGATATAAAACATCCAGGAAGAGGCTGGAGAGATGGATCAGCAGTTAAGAGCACTGACTGCTCTTCCAGAGGTCCTGAGTTCAATTCCCGGAAACCACATGGTGGCTCAAAACTACCTTGAATGAGATCTGGTACCCTCTTCTGGCAACAGTCATAAGACTGTATACATAATAAATAAATAAAATCTTTAGGAAAAAAAAAAACATCCAGGAAATCCAAGACACTAAGAAAAGACTAAACATAAGAATAGTAGGAATAGCTGGTCGGTGGTGGTGCTCACCTGCAATCCCAGCAGTGGGAGGGGTGGGCAGAGGCAGGCAGATCTCTGTGAGTTCGAGGCCAGCCTGGTCTACAGAGCGAGTGCAAGGACAGCCTCCAAATCTACAGAGAAACCCTATCTCAAAAAAACAAAAGAAAAAAATTGCCTTGTTGGGGATTACAAATTGCTCCTGAAAAAATACAAAGAAGAGATTCTACTGATTATTTAGGATATAAAATAGGTCTACAAAAAATTAAACCCCCAAAGGTACAAATTAGGAGAGATTTGTGGTGAACTCTTAATGACTTTCAAATATTGCACCACCACTGCCCAGCTACAATTTTTTCTTCACTTCTTTAAACATTGTTTCTAAAGTATCTACATTTGAATCAGTTAGTAAGATGTTGTGCATGTCATGATTAAACTATAGATTGAGGAAATTGCTTACATATTATTTCCAATGGCTATCACATAAAATATTGGCACAGGGTGGGGCTATTTAACATTCTCTGTGGGAGAACTTTCTATTGATATCTCTTAACAGGCTGAGAATTATTGTAAGTAGGCACCATGAAGGCAAACTTTTCTGTCTTTTTCTTATAAAGATATAGTGAAGAAACAATCTTTTTTCCCTATTTTTTATTTTTTATTTCATTTTATATTCCAACCACAGTTCTCCCTCCCACCCAACCTTCCACCCCCTCTCATCCCCCCACCTCCCTTACCTCTCCCCTACCCCCCCTTTTAAATCAGTAACTATAGGAGGCCATCCTTTGGGAAATAGGAGGCAAAGGAATTCTAGACTGTAAAGAGCCCACTGGCTGAATCGCATTATTAGCAGCTCTTAGATCTGTTACCATTCTCCATATCCGAGATTTCTTTTTAATAACAAGTACAGGAGAATTACAATCGCTGGTTGATTCTTCAATATGCTGAGAATTTTGCTGCTCCTGTACCAGCTGTTCTAAGGCCTGCAGTTTCTCTATTGTTAAAGGCCATTGCTCAAACCATACAGGTTTGTCTGTCAACCATTTTAAAGGTAGGGTTGGTGGTGTCTTTGAAAGATCAGGAGTTGTTGTGCCCTGTTCTTGTACAACCTGAAAGGTCGGTGAACTGTTCTTTATAATACCTTCTAATATTTTCCTCAGAAACATATGTTAACTTATGGTTTGTTCCTAAGATTGGAAGAATGTTAATCTGAGTATCCCATTGCTTTAACAAATCACATCCCCATAAATTCATTACATGTTAGCCACATATGGCCTTAATTTTCCTCTCTGTCCTCTGGCCCTACACATTCAACCAATCTTGTGCTCTGTTTTACCTGAGATAACATCCCAATCCCTAAAAGCTGAACATTTACCTCCTGAAGAGGCCAATTTGGATGCCAAGATTCTGGTGCAATTATTGTTACATCAGCACCTATGTCTACAAGACCTTCAATGACAACATCATTTATTTGTATTTTTAATTTTGGTCTTTGTTCATTTATAGAAGTTTGCCAAAATATTTGCTTTACGGTTTCTCCTGAATTTTTGTTCTCTCTTCTATAGTTGTTCTATTATCCAGAGCAGTATGGTTTCTTACAGTAAACATTAGGTTCTTTAATTGCTTTGGGGAGGAGTCTCTTCCATGGTGACAGGAAATGAATGAATGAAATTTGGCATGGGAGCCTGCAAGAGACCTTTCAAGGTAATTCCCAAAGACAAAGAGTTACCTTGATTGTCCCTTGTTGATCTACATTCATTAGTCCAATGCCTACCCTGGCCACACCTTCTGCATAATGCAGAATGGAGAGGCATTCTGTTTGGATTATGCTTAGAAAAATCATTATTTCTAGGAACCCCCTGTTTACAATCCTTTTTAGGTGACCTAGTTTGCCGCAATTGAAACACTTGACATTTTGATTTTTCTTCAAACCTCAGGAAATATCTCTCCTATCCATGCATCATCATATCCATGAGATGCAATATTGACTGTATTTTAGATCCATTCTTCCTAGGGTGCTGATCTTGCCTTTAGTGGCCCAATTACCCTTTTGCATTGTGCATTAGCATTTTCAAAAACCAAAGATTTGATCATTATTCGACCAGCTTCTGAATTTGGTATCAAAAAACCAAATAATCCAATTTAAAACTTCAGTATAAAATCTAAACAGAGAATTCTCAACAGAGGAGTCTCAAATGAATAAGAAACACTTGAAGGAATGTTCAACATCCTTAGCCATCAGGGAAATGCAAATCAGAACTACTTTGGGATTCCATCTTACACCTGTTAGAATGGCTAAGATCAAAAATAAAAGTGACAGCTCATGCTGGCAAGAATATGGAGCAAGGGAAACACTCACTCTTCCATAGCTGGTGGGGGTACAAACTTGTACATTCACTATGGAAATCAATATGGTGATTTCTCAGAAAATTGAGAATGGATCTACCTCAAGGCTCAGCAGACCAAAGGACTCTCCATCCTATCACAAGGACATTTACTCAACTATGTTCATAGTAGCTTTATTCAAAACTGGAAACAATCTAGATGCCCCTCAAAGAGTGGAAAAAGAAATGTGACTCATTTATACAATGGAGTAATAACATCATGAAATTTGCAGACAAATGAATGGAACTAGAAAAAAACATCCTAAATGAGGTAATCCAGACCCCAAAAGACAAACACGATATGTACTCACTTATAAGTGGACATTAGCTGTTAAGTAAAGGACAATCCGCAGACCCAGAGAGGCTAAGTAACAAGGAGGGCTCAAAGGGGATGAGCTCTCTGGGAAGGGGAAATAGAATACATTTTGTGGGTGGACTGGAGCAGTGGGGATGGAAACAAGAGGGATCAGGCGGGGGGAGAAGGATGAAGGGAGAGATGACTGGAATTGGGGGGGTGGTGGGCGATGTAGAAAGCTAGTGTAGTGGAAACTCCCTGAAACCTTCGAGAGTGACCCTAGCAAAGACTCCTAGTATTGGGGATACAGAGCTTAACTGGTCATCTTCTATAATCAGGCAAGGCTCCCAGCAGTGGAATTGGGACATCCATCCAGTCACAAAACTTTCGAGGGAGCCCATGCCTGACACTGTCTGGATGGCCAGGAACCAGAACTTGGACAGCCCAGAGACCCAGCATAGAACAAGACACAACTGGCAAAACAAAAAGTTGATGAAATGATTCCTAAAGATATTCCACTATATTCACAGATTGATGCCTAGCCCAATTGTCATCAGAGAGGCATCACTAGCGACTGATGGGAGCAGATGCAGAGAACCACAGCCAAACACTAGGGGGAACCAGTGGAACCCCACAGAAGAGAGGGAAGAGGATTATAGAAGCCAGAGAGGTCAAGGACACCATGAGAACATAACCCACAGAATCAACTAAGCAGGGTTCATAGGGATCTATAGAGACAGAAGCCACAATCATGGTCCCTGTATGGGTTTTAGCCAGGTCCTCTGCATATGTTATGGTTGTGTAGCCTGGTGTTCTTGTGGGACTCCTAACGGTGGGTGAAGGGCTCTAGCAGGTCCAAGCATGGCAAACATGGCTCTGGCAGGCCTTGCCCTTCCCTTTAATCTGTCTTGCTAAACCATTAGATTACATTCCTAAAGCTAGCTACCAAGGTCCATTCCCTTATTTGGCCACTTCTTCCTCCTGAGACTGACTACTAAGGGTCTAGCAATCAAAGTACTGAAGTCCAGTAATCAGAAGCCCCTTTGGATACCTGAATTAACATGCTCAAT